TATACTTCTCCCTGAGAGTTTATTGACGACTATTTTCATCTCATCTGATAGATGAATCTAATATCTACCCTGAGTTTGATATCGTGATCAAATGCTACTATCACATCCCATTCGCGTATACTACAATCCCCCAACTTACCTTATTTCGTAATAAACATATCTCGTCCTAGAAAAGACACCGAGTTGTTGGTAGCGGTATGTAGTAAATGTCACGAAACCACTCAGCAATCTGACTAAACGTTGGCCTTTATATTTCATGAGCACTATTGAGTCCGAAATGTGCGGTACTTTACTATGCGTAGCACATGGACAACCCTATTCCTGTGCTGATATTCAGATGCACCCCTCTCCCATGATTCCCGATTATCGTGAATTTGATCTAGGATCAAAACCGATTGACCTGATTCTACGTCAATTTCGGTGCAGACACCGACCCGTTTGCCTCGTAGAATCTGAAATATCTACTACTATGTGAAGACTGTCTGGGCTGTGTGTATCCGATGCTGTACGATTAAACGTTATATAAGTAGAACTGGTTTTGAGACCCGCCCTCGTGCACTGCTACGAGTACCTCCCCGATGCACTAGATTGGAACGCAAACGTATAACCTTCCAAAAGAAGCTCAATCTATGAACACGCATGGGTACATGCGCATAGGCAGTAGGCGTATACATCTGTATCTATATACATAGGTATATGCATTCATCCCGTGTGACATACACACACTAATGAATAAATTCATGCGTACCGATCTGTAAAAACATAAGCAAACATATAATTATATTTAAAGACGGATGCCAATATAGGACACATGTCCCCTACGGACAATAGATTTACCTTTACTATTTCCACCCACAACAGACTTGCCTATCTATCAGACGATGGTTTTGACATCTCTTCTTTTGAAACAGAGCATTCCTTATCCTCCCCGTCAACCGTTGCTAGGGTGCTCTCACATCTACATTGATAAGTTATAGTAAACCAACGGGATCGCTTCTCAACTAACACAGGCTTGCGCTAAGTATGTCAGTCTGTCCCGATTGAGGTTGAGAAAATGATTATCTATACCAACCCAAACGCCCCATAAAAAACGCAACCCTACCCAGTTTCAGGGTTTTCTAAAACCCTAAAACCTACATCCTAGCACACGCACGCAACCCCTCTCAAGGCTTTCTCGTACGCTTCGTAGTCTGACACTTGCTGCCACTGCGCCGCATCGTCGCTGGTGACACTCTCAGCCGCACCTGCACCTGCACCTGCACCCGATTCTTTGGGGTCTGAGTACCCGAATAACACCTGGGTGCAAATTTCGCCCATTTGGTACGGCGCCAACACACCCACAATCGCATTGTGTGCCCGGGCGAATAGTACGCCCATACTGACCCTCCGGTTGCGTACAGCCAACACGGTGGTATCCCGCACGCACACGTGTGTGTACTCGCCGATCTTCTGTGTACGTGTGGGTGTATGGTGATGCTTCGTAGGTGATGGACAGGTAAGTGTCTCTGCGTGCTCAGACGTATACGTGGTGGTGGCCAGGGGCGATCGTGGTAGAAAGCCCCTGCGCGTGTCCCTTATTTCAGGCGGGTGGTCACTCTCCGGTCCTTTTTCTGCAAAAACAGGTGCAAGAACCAGGCCCCCTGGTATGAAGTCGGGTGTGTGGTAAAGGGTGTAGATCGAGTACAGCGGAAAGTGCCACAGAAACATACACACGACGTATGCCCCTACATGCACAGCCACACCCAGGGCTTTGCAGCTCAGGAAGAAGGCGTAATAGATGGTTACGGTGGGTACGGTAAAGAAGAGCGTGGTAAAGAACATGGTATTCACCAGCAACTGGTCGTATGCCAGGTGGCAACTGTCGATACGTAAACGCAGGACGTTACGTTTATAGCCCCGGAACAGCCGGGAGGTCGAGATGAGGCAGCGGATTATGCCCCCGTACAGATTGGTGGCGAAGCGGCCCAGCAGATACACGTGAAATGTGAGTACAAACACGAGGTCAACAAACCCACACAGCAGTACCACCAACCCCCACGGCGCCAACAGGGCAATTCCGGTCCTAATGATCAGGTGCAGGTGCGGCTCCACACTCGTCAGCACGGCCCCCCACCAACCAGTGTACACCTCAAACACCATGCCTAGGAACTGCGCCACGGGAGGGTTCAGTTTGACCCCCCCGGGCGATCCGGCTAACCATCTGATGGTGTGGATAACGTACTCTATAGTATACTCGCGAATCATATACACCAGCACCTCCACTAATGGCCTGCTATAGCGCCACAGGACCACCCCCACTACCAGCCCCAGCACCGTGTCTACGGCTGAGGACACGATCTCATCCCACAGCGCCAGCGTCAGCGAGCGACACTCTATCTGTTGTTGGTGTGTGTGTATACTACTGTAATGGGGCATAAAACTATCACCACACCTGTGTGTAGGGTCGTGTGTGTGTGGCGTATGCGCCCATGCGTGTTCCAATTCACGTTCCGGCGAGTATGACCGCGTTGCTGCGTTTGTGCGTACCTGAGTGTGTGCTTGTGCACGTTTTTGCCCGAGTGCTGTAGAGCCACTCTCTGTGTGTGCATAAGCTCTCGCATACACCAAAGGCCACACCAACAGACGCCGCCCCCGCTCACACAGAAACTTCACAGTCAGAAACACTTGGTCTGGTCTCGGGACGCGCTCATAGGGTGTGTAACGGCCTATCCTGCGGAATGACATCACAGCCGTGTGTATGCCAAGCGCAGCGGCACTCCACACCCGCACAAGACCCGCATGTCTACCTTCAGACCAGTGCGTGGGGGTGGGGGTGGGGGTGGGTGGGTAGTCTGTTGTAGTTGAGACTCTGTTTAAGCTAATAGGTTTCGTCTGTGCGTCGCTGGTTGGGTGTTGCTCCCTGTTGTTGGTAGTGGTATGGGCTGTGCTATCATGTTTGCCCCTCGTCCCACTGTGGTGTGGCGCCCGGTCTGCTACCGCACCCGTGACCCTGTCCGTTCCATGAGGTGCGGCCCTGTTTCTACCATGAAGTGCAGACCCAGCCACTTCAGATTGGGTGCTACTATCTGTCCCAGGTTGTGTGTCCCTATCTAGACTATTATTATCAAGCGGTGCAGTCCGGTCTAATCCCTCCTGCGCCACTCTTAGTGCACTCTGTCCCCGTGCCTCCCTACTAACATCTGTGTGCATGTCGTCTCCGCATGTACACACCTCCATGCATCTGTGTGTGGATGCCCCTGTGCGAGTCCTTCCCCCTCTCACCCCCCCTACACACCTCAGTGGTGTGTTTGGCGCGATGCTTCTGTGCAATTCCCTGTTCCTGACTGACAACCCACACTCGTTGCCTTGGCACTGATCTGTGCGCCTGTGACCTGTGTTTGTGTCGCTGGCTTCTCTACGTACGTTTGTGCCTGTTCTCTTCCTGAGGTGCGATTGCACCCTGTTCTCGCAATCCCCAGTCTCACTTGCATTTAAATTGGGGCTTGAATTGGGCCTTTCCCTGCAGTGTTCGTCCTGACGCAGACTGTCTGTCTGTGGTACTGTGTGCCTCGGGCCTCCACATGCCTGGGGTGTGTGTGTATATAGACTATCGGCATCTACGCTATTCATATCCATATATGGCACCCACTTACCTACAGGACTGCATTGGCGGGCCCCAGATTTGCCACTGACGGCCAACTGCTCCAACACTTGCTCGTACACATGTGCGTGAGTGTGTGCGTATACCTGTGTTCTATTATTAGATGCATCTGTTCTATTTTTAGATGACTGTGCTCTATTATTACACGCATGTGTTCTATTTTTAGATGACTGTGTTCTATTATTAGATGCCTGAGTGCCATCACCAGAGCTATCCGTGCTAGCACCAGGTACGTCTGTATGCCTTGTACCCCTTCCCCTTGGTGTGCACGTATCTTGTACTGGGGCGGTGGGTGCCAGAAAGCTGTGCCGGTAGATACACTCCAGAGTGTCTTGCAACCGTAGCGAGGTAGGCGAGGTCACTAACAACGCACCCGGTACCGGTTCTGGGTAGAGTACAATAGTGACACCGGCCTTCCCATAGCTACCAGGTTTTACATACATCGGGCTCCTCGCCTCTGCCACGGTTGGGTTGTTTGTGCGGACACTGGTATAGATGGCGTCAGTAGTGTAGGTATCGTACGTAGGGTTTCTGCTCACACCGGTGCCGGCCTCACTACTACAGCCACTTCTGGCATAATCCATGCCGTTTGCATCTACATGATCATCAACTCCCTTGACTGTACTAGTTTCAATATCGCTCTCTGATCCCAGGCGTTGGCATCCATCGTTTCTCCCTTTCGCGCGGACTCTTTCCCGAGTATACGCATTGCCCGGTATGCTCATACCACAGTCAGTCTGGTTTATCCTCCCCGTATCCTTGTCTTGTACACGCACTGTCTTAGGCCAGTTCTGGGACTCTTTCTCCTTGCCTGTGAGTGTGCTTGAGGCAAAGGTTCTCACTAGTATATCCACAGCAACAGGAGCAAACACGCCCGCTTGGCTACTACACTGTAGTACTACCTGCACCGCTGCTAAGTCATAGCAATGAACACCCTCTGGTATATAGTCCATATGCTGTACGTGATCATCTTCTGGGTGCGTGGGTGTGTGTCCGATCCACCGGCCGATTACACTCAATCGAGACCTATAGCGGATGAAAGGTATTAACGAGTCATGGATGAGATAGAGAGTTGCGGGTAATTGGGGAGATTGATAAATATATACGTTATCATAGGACACGTAGCTAATAGTGATCAATATTAGATACAAAAACTACGACACACGTGGATGCGCTACAACAATAAAAATATTGCACACAAGTTTCCAATTATGGGAACTTCAAAAGATGAATTAAAAAAAAAAATGAAAACTTGTTTCAGGTAATGTGTAGATAAACGTGTGTACAAATATGACATATACGTATAACTATATTTTATATATATATATATATACATATATATGTATATAGTGTGTGTGTGTGTGTCTGTGTGAC